TATATATGTATGTGCGCTGTGGTAGTCCTGTTCGTTTGACCAACAAGTTTCTTTTAGTTTCCCACTTAGACGTCCAATTGGTGAGAATATATCAGGCACACCTTCTACTGCGTAACTTTGTTCTACACCCCCATCATCGTAACGTCTTGGAGCCCGTTTGCGTGTACGAACCTTCAGAGCAAAATAATAAGACGTGAAATGAGAAGTTCCTTCTATCAAACTTCCCGCCACGATAGACCCTTCAACTTTTGCTAAGTTTTTGGCCTTACCCTTTAAATGCTTCATAAATCGTTCAAACGGATACATCCACCTAAACTGAACAGGTCCTCCCAACTCTGCTTCATGAGGGAGGTGTATAGGTAAATGTTCCATAACATCGAAGAAAGCAGGTGGGAATATTTTCTCTAAATTGCACAACAATATTGGAATATTTGTAGACAGTTGTGCAACTACATCTTCTGATAATGTCCTTGTACTTAGATCACGAAAGAAAGCTCCAATGCCTCCTAGTGCCTCATGGACATGTCCCGGTAGGAGTTCAGCAAACGCAAAAGGAAGTAACCGTTGCATAAACACATGACAATCATGACTTTTCATCCCTGAAAACTTTTGTCCTTTATCCACAGATTTAGCCAGATTATATACATATCCATCAAGAAATTTCACGGCTGATGATACCCAATTAAACAATGCTGTTTTTTGTTCAGCACCCAACCGAAATACAGGAACATGTGCTTTCCCATTACTCACCATATGCAACTCAATTCTGTTACATATATCGGGTAAGTCCATCCGTGATTTAACGCTGTCTTTGGTTCTTCCTTGGACGTTCAAAACAGTATGCATGATGTTATCGAAAAAATTCTTCTCAATGTGCATAACATCAAGATTATGTCTAAGCAAATGATTTTTCCAGTAAGGCAGATCCCAAAATATACTTTTCTTGTGCCAATTATGATGAACCCCATATTCTTCAGGCATATTCGCAGGAGTGTGCCAATTTCCTCCAAGGGGGACCGTTTCAAGTCCACCCCAGTGATCTATTTGCGCTTCAAGCTCTACTCCAGTTAGGTACACTGGTGGAGGGAGACAAACCAATTTGTTCTTTATAAACAAACGCCTATTTCTTCTATATTGATGGTTTGGTGGTAAAAAACTGACGGTGGCAATCAAACCAACAGGTTTTCCTACCATGTTTAAGCTGAAATGCATCAGTCCTATGAAGACAATTAGGACATGATAACCTCCCATGCGTTGTCCAACCTGATAGCATTCCGTATGCCGGGAAATTGCTTATTGTCCACATAAGCACCGCTCGCATCGTAAAATTTTTACCACTCGAACAGTCATATGTTCGTACTCCAACATGCCACAACTGGTTTAACTCATGTATGAGTGGTTGCAAAAACACATCAAGGGCCTGCTTCGGGTGATTTGGACCAGGGACTAATATACTTAGAAACAAAAACTCTCTTTGCATGCACATATCTGGAGGAAGGTTATATGGCGTAAGAATCACAGGCCATAATGAATATTGCCTACCATACATACCAAATGGACTAAACCCGTCAGTGCAAAGACCAAGATAAACATTTCGCTTAGACCTAGCAAAGTCTGGATGTACGGTGTTAAAATGTTTCCAAGATTTCCCGTCAGACGGGTGAGTCATTTTGCCATCTGTTTGTGAATGTTCTGCATGTTATCTCATCGACGCATCTGTCCGTTCAGATTGATATAGTATTTTTAACCTATCAGTGATAGAAAAATACCACATTCGTTGTTACGGAATCTTTTTACGTCCAGCAATTTGCAGTCTATATCTTGGCTTTTGGCAGAAACGGTATTCTTGAAGCTTCTCATCATCTCTAAAAAAAGCATACAATTATCAACACAAACATCAATCATCTCAGAAGGCAATTCAAGACTAAAAACCAGCTTCTGAATTTCATAATAAGTTTCAGTAGCCAAATTATCATCTGGCAAATACTCTTTAATAAGATCTGCCCAATCGTTCATGAAAACTTCAGATAGATTGTGATCAGTTTTTATTGTCATCATCCGAGCTGCTAATGATAATTTAGATAAACCTTCCCAATATCCCTCGTAAAGAGGTTGTTTTGCTGCGTTTAACATATCATAAAAGCGTTTCGCATCTGTATTGGGCTCCTCAACAATATCAGCATGTGTTTCATGAAATGCATCATTAACCATATCATGCATCCTATCCTGATCTTCACCCTGAACTTGACTACTTTGATAATCATTTGACGCTTCAAAATCTTCATGTTCTTGATGATTACTACTACTCCGTGCAGCCATCTAACCACTACTTTGACCATATCCCTCTCTATGCTGATACCAAATAAAGTATTACGGCATGAACCCTCTATTCAATAAATGCTGCCAGATAGTGTCAAAGGAATATGTTTCCTATTTTTGCATTTCACACAAGGACAATACATTTTGCCGCTTTCAATTACAGTTTGCATAAGGCCGGCCTGGTACATGAATATTTCCATCCGTTTTTGAAGTCTTCAGTCAACGACCCATCAACATTTTTGGGCGTATACATCCACTTTCGTAGATCGTAAATAGACATTTCAAAAACAAATAATTAAATTTTTTTTTTCAACTACTAAAAGTTTCACTCAAACATTTCAAGACTCAAAAAATTGTGTCCTTATATGTTTTTTTGGGTTGATGGAATAATGAGAGAAGAGAGGGTATATATAGATTTTTTGTTTGGTTACCAACATATTGCCATTGAATATTTACATCAAATTTACGTCGAAATAAAAATTACATCATATTTACATCGATATTACATCGACTACAAGATGGAGACCAATTCGTCGTAATCAATGTAAATTTTACGACAATGTTACGACGAAATTAAATCCGTTCTTCATTCGTCGTAATATCGTCGTAATTTTACGATGATTTTACGAGAGTAGTTATTTTACGTCGAAATTACGACGAAATATGTTGACGTCGTAAGTGCGACGTAATTGAGTCGTAAATTTACGATGATCATAAATCGACGTAAAATATTCGTTGAAAATGCCCTTGTTGTTACAAATTGCCAAAAAAAAAGAAAATGTATTGATGTCTATTAATTTTTTTAGGCCAACTATAGATTAATGAAATAATATGATATGTTATTGACTTCTTAGTAATATACTAATATAGATAGATATGTGCATGCCATGTTACTCACAAATGCGTTAAGACACAAAACGATAAATGTATTTGTTCTTGTCTGATCTTCGACCGTATCCCTACAAATCAAATTTTGTTTGTCTGTTTTTTCTTTTTAACTTTTTTTGGGGAAAAAAAATTGTTCATTAGAAACTAAGAGAAGCCGGAAAGAAACGTTGTTCTTTTTGGAAAGAGATAATTACGTCGTGCCATGATTAACAAGAGAAATTACGCGTAGAATTATGTCAAAGCTTACGATTCTACCAAACCGGCGATTAAAACAAAACCTGGTTTTTTGTCTTTCAATTTTCGTGGGCCTTATTTTGAGCCATTTATGTAATTACTGAAATATCAAAATATATGGGCCTTAAGACTTCAGTTTGTAGTCGGTATACACATACTTAATGCTTACACAATAAAAATACGCTCACACAGTCACACTTATGAATTTTTATAAATGTTATATACAGTATTATCGACACTCTGAATTTTGAAGATTATTATAGATAGAGTTATTAAATCATTGATGATTGGCATTTTACGACAATCCTAAACGCGTCTAACTCTTCTTAATTACTTTGCTAGTCAAACTGAAGTATTTTTTCCTGTTCCAGGCGTTTTGGTCGTATCTATTTGTTATTATATTTGGCAAAATATCAATTGTAGTCCTATGCATTTTTAGCAAATTTGGTAACATATCAAAGGAATTTTATAAAAAAAACTCTTATAGTTTACTTAGTTGACCCAAAAGATTTGATGACTTTATGACCAAAACATTTCTCCTCCATTGTATAAAAACGGTTCCACGAGCTAAAACAACAGTAGATATCAACATTTACACATCTTTTGTAATAATATTTTCCATAAGTAAAACAATGGAGAAAATATTAATGAAGTTTGCTTTTCTTGTTTTCCTAGTTGTTACAGGTAAATTACATATTTTGTATATAAGAAAAAGCTTTACATAAGAAATTTATTTATATCAATATACTGGTTTTGGTCACAGTTCTAAATGTTGAGGCAAAACATTTATCACCTGAAGAAAATCCTCAAAGTATGTTACATCATGAAGCTTCGCTGCATGTTGTGAAACCACAAGGTCACTGCAAGAAAGGGTGTCGTGTGATCTGTATTCCCAATCAACAATTTATTCGTTGTATTTGTTTATGCTAATTTTGAAGTTTAATCTTAGTTAATCAAATAATAAGATATGATTTTATTAATAAAAATTTTACATGACATTAATAGGTTACATCATTACATTAGACTGCTTTGTCAAATTCTTAAAAAGACAAACCATAATTTTGGTGTAAAATGTAGAAAAACAATCTTAAGAATAATCATTATATGTTGAATAATTTGAAATAAATTTGAACAAATATTTTTCATGAGTAAATTCTCGATTAATTTATAAAGTATAGAAAAGATGAAAAACTTTTGTAACAAAAAAAAATGAAAAGAAGCCACACCATATTTTTTTCTTTCATTTGAATTTCGTGGTTTACCCAAATGATTTAGATTTGGATCGATTCAAATATATCTGCATTGTAACTAGATTATCTTTTCTGTTCGGTTTAAGTGGATTTGTACATAAATGAAATTTTAAAAGAGAAAAGGGTCAAAGTTTATCTCTGTAATATTTATTTTCTATAAATGTAAAAATGTACATATATTTGATGATATACTTTTTCTGTTTGTTGTTTGTTAATATTATAATTGGAAACAATTAAATAAATACGTCTCCTTAAAACCAGCCTGAAAGAAACAGCTTCTCTTCCGTCTTTTACTCTCCATCTCTCTTCCGTCGTTTCCTAAGCTTTTTTTTTGGTTCTCTTCTCAGATTCTCTCTTTGATTTGAGATTTTCTCTGTTTTCATCCACAAACACCAAAAAAAGGAGAGATTTTTGAGAAAACAAAAATCCTCTGTTTCACTCTCAAAGGATATGAGATAAATCTCGCACGTATTAGCCGCGTAATCCGAAACTCACCATTAAAATTCTCATCTTTCGTTTTCGATTTTGAGAATTTTTCAATTTGCATATTGCGTGCCTCTGTTTCTTTTTGGGTTTCTGCATGTCCTAGTGGCTGATATACAGCTGACTTTTTTTTTTTTAATTCATTGATTGAATATTAATTTAAGATTTAGTATCTCTGGATTAGAATTTGTTTGCTATATAGATCATAAAAGGCAATTGTGGTAACAAGTCGTTTTCTTAGGGTTTACATTTTCTTATAGTGGGGTTTGATTCTTTGCTTTTCTAATTAAAAAAAAAGGCTTATTGGAGAAATTTTTCATTAATGTTGGTTTTACAAAAAAAAAACATGAATTTCAGAGCATGTGCATGATTTTTGAGAAGTTTGGTGAAAAACAGTTTCTTATAAAAATCTAGACTTGTTTGAATATCTAAGCCGCCTTTGTTTAACCTGGTAAATCAAAAAAATTGTTTTTTAATAACTCCTGCATGGTTTCCATTCAATTCACTAGTAATCTGAAGAAAAAATTAGATGTTGTGATAATGATGATGATGATGAAAAGATTAAATCTTTAAGTCAGAATCTCTGTGTTTTTGAAAGCTGTGTGGTATTTGTCTAGTTAAAGAGTTTGATTTGAATTTAAGACATGGAGAAGACAACATCAGGAGGAGGAGGAGGAGGAGGAGGAGGAGATAACAAGAAAGACAGGATTTTTCGAGCAGATAAGATCGATTTGAAAAGTTTAGATAAACAACTTGAGAAACATCTGAGTAGGGTTTGGTCAAGGAACATTGAGAAGAATCATAAAGCTATGGAGGAAGAATGGGAGATTGATTTGTCTAAGTTGGAAACAAGGAATGTTATCGCTCGAGGTACTTATGGTACTGTCTACAAAGGCATCTACGATGACCAAGATGTTGCTGGTAACACATTCAAAAACCAAAAACAAATCTTTTGTTAATTTCCATTAGCTAGAGATTGTGACTTGTGTTTTGGGGATTGTTTGAGTAATGGCAGTGAAGGTGCTTGATTGGGAAGAAGACGCTAAAAACCGAGATTTGTTTCGTCAAGAGGTCACTGTTTGGCACAAACTCAACCACCCAAATGTCACAAAGGTTGGTTATATTCGTTAGTTTGCTCAAATCAAAGGGTCTGAATCTAATGAAGAATCTTTGAATGGAACAGTTTGTTGGAGCTTCAATGGGAACAACGAATCTCAAAATCAAATCAGCTGATTCAGAAAACTCGTTGCCTCAGCGAGCTTGTTGTGTGGTTGTGGAATATGTTCCTGGTGGTACATTGAAACAGTACTTGATCCGTAATAGGCGAAAGAAACTTCCTTTTAAAGTCGTTATCAAACTCGCTCTTGATCTCTCTCGAGGGTAAGTAACTTAAACTTCTTCCACTACTACTCTTTTACAAGATTTGTGAAGAATAACGGAGAAAGCTAAATCCCTTAACGTTTTTAATAATTGCTTGCAGGCTAAGCTATTTGCATTCAGAGAAGATTGTGCATCGCGATGTGAAAACAGAGAATATGCTTTTGGATGCTCAAAGGAATTTGAAAATAGCTGATTTTGGAGTGGCCCGAGTGGAAGCTCTTAATCCAAAGGACATGACTGGAGAAACCGGTACTCTTGGATACATGGCTCCTGAGGTAAACAGTTAAACCCTTTTTTTTTTTTTTTTTCATTTTTAGGGTTTGTTTCTCTGTTTCGAAGTAAAACTCGGTTTTTTTCATAGGTTATCGACGGCAAGCCATACAACAGAAGGTGCGATGTTTACAGCTTTGGGATATGCTTATGGGAAATCTACTGCTGTGATATGCCTTATCCTGATCTTAGCTTTGTCGATGTTTCTTCTGCGGTTGTTTTACATGTAAGTTTTGACCTAAACAAAACCCTAATTTTGTTTCCTTGTCTCACGTTATGGTTAAACTTATGAAACTTTGTTTTCTATGTTTTTGAAAAGAATCTGAGACCGGAGATACCAAGATGCTGTCCGAATGCATTGGCGAATATAATAAAGAAATGTTGGGATGGGAATCCACAGAGACGACCGGAGATGGAGGAAGTCGTGAAGATGCTTGAAGGAATTGATACTACTAAAGGCGGCGGAATGATACCGGAAGATCAGAGCTCCGGCTGTTTCTGCTTTGCTCCTGCTCGTGGCCCTTGAATCTCCCTTTCTACCTCCTTCGTCTTTTGTTTTTTCGTCTGGTTTTGTTCTTTTCCCTTTGACATTGAATGCTCTGTTGTGTTTCTTCTTCTTCAAGAAACGTCTTTTGACTATATTTGGTCATTGTGAATATTCAAAGTTGAGACGAAACTCGAATTCATTGGTTTTGAGCTTGACAAAAGAAAAAGAAACAATTAATTGGTTTTTTTTTTGGATTTCTGTGATTATTAGAGAGTATGTTTCAAGGAAAGCTCTATATATTATGAATGTTAAAGACTTTCATTTTATAAAATACCGAAAAAAAACATCTTATAAGATTATTAACTGAACTGTATTTTGTTTAGATATTTTCATTGTAAAATGATGAATTAATAAGACGTAAATTGTGATTATTGAATTTGTTTTTGGTGGTCTATCGCAAGTTGGAACATAATATTGTAAATGTATCTAAATTTCACTACTTTCACATTATCATTCATAACAATTATAATTCACACTTATCTATATCGTATTTTGTCCAGAGTTGATAATATCAAATTCAAAATTTGATTTAAAGCCATAAAAATATGGGAGAACTGTAAATTTAGAACACATTTTGTAAACAATTGTCTTTATAAGATTTTTTGGACTTTTGTTATTTTTGGACTTAATTACCTTTTAATTAATGATTACATTAATTTCAGAAATTCAAATTTAATGTTTATTTTTTTTAGAAAAATTCAAAAATGCCAAATAAAGAAATAAACTAATTACCAAAAATTAGTTATGGAAAATTTTTAATTTTTAAAAATTATTTTCTACAACACCTAGAAAACGTATTCTACATTCTATGATTTTATAAAATATGTTTTCTAGACATTCCTATACAATCTACAGAACCTAGAATCGATGTTCTACATGTTCTTCTTCATTCTACTAGCCGTATAGAATAAGTATTTTATAGACTTTTCATCGTTTTACAGCTTGTAGAATACATTTTCTATACTTTTCATTACGTTCTACATTTTACTAGAAAGTGTATTCAAGTAATCATTCTTTGTTCAACGTAATTTAGAACATGTATTCTATTAAGTTGTTAACAGAATCTGAGAAAATCTAGTATTCATGTGCTTATCCACCAAACTAAATATTTTCTAAATATTTAGTTTCTTTTTTATTTTCATGTTTTTCTTCTCTTCCACAACGTTTTTTCTTCTCTGTTTTGCTCTTTTAGCTATCTTCTCACACTTTGATGAAAGACAATCTCTTCTTCAACAAATCGGCTAGCTTCAAATCTTAATACCAAACAAATGGAGCTCACTCAGCTCAGTAATTTCCATAAACATTAGAAACAGAAAGTATATGTACATAGTTATCTTATATATGTTCCAACGACTTTACATCCACATATCCATTATCAAACATATTTGTTATCAAACACAGGAATTGTGATGCAGGTGATCTGGACTTCAACTTAATCCTGATCACCAAAAAGGTCTCCTATTTATGATTTGACAATGCTTTAGAAAATTGTATAAGTAAAAGAATGGACAAATTTTTCACTATGTAGTCTTTACACACAAGAACAGTACACAAACACGATTACAAGCCATCAAAGACATAAGAAAGAATGTTTACACTTTACAATTGATAACTCTTGAAATTCTATTTGCAATTCCAGTGGCTCTGTATTTAGCAGTAGTTTCTTCTGCTTGAAGAATATCTTCTCCTCTCTTTGGCTTTCTTGTGAATCACTGCAACCTTATTCTTCATCTTCTCTGCTTACTATGCTTTCTTCTTCTCTAGTTGCTCCTGCAATTCAAACACACGTCAGACACATTTTAACTTCTCAACTTGGACTGAACAGAGAAGTAAAATAATAATACATTAATAATAAACGAATTTAATTTGTTTGGTGATAAGGATTGTCTAGATGAGTCGCCTATTTGCATGGAGCACTATATATAAAGAAGAACGTGAACACATTATCCCACGTGTCAGCTGATTCCCACTCTAGTTACTTGATTACAATCCTACAAGCTATACTCATCAAGAAAATATTGATGACAAAATCTTGTTTCTTGTAAGAATGTGCATAAAGTCTCATATTCATAAAGCAAAACCTTGACAGAGTAAGATTATGTATGAACAAAACCTAACACAAATCCATAAAAGACAAGTATTAGGAGTTTACAGATTCTGTAGCAATAGTTATGAGTGGGTGAGCTTAGCTGAGCTCGAGAATCTCAGAGAAAACTCTCTGTTATGATAATGAGAACCTCAAAATAAATGAATAACAACAATCGTAAAGCCTACTCACACTGGTCACTGGGACAAATGGTCGAACATCTGGTGAGCGTTGGTGATATGGCTTTTCCAAACGAAGAAGAAACGGTTTACACAGAGAGGAACATAGTCATTTCACGCCAAAATGAAAGTAGCAGCACACGCAAAGAAAGAAACGCAGAATAAATAAGGGTATTTATATGTATGTGTCGACGAGTCGTATACATATATATATATATATATATATATATATATATATATATATATATATGCGTGATTCAAAACCTTGGCTTTGATTGGTAACTTTGCGGAATGGCGGAATTGCGGAAAAAATATTGCAGAATAGATTAAGTGACTTATAAGTCGATTTTCTGCGGAATGACTTTTCTGTTAAGCAAAAACGCTGTCTGCGTTTTTGTGTGTATTTTTTCATTACGCGAATTTTTGTTGATTGGCAAAAAACCTGCGGAATTGTGTTTAAAAACGCAATTCCGCCATTCCGCAGGTTACCAATCAGAGCCCTTAGAAAGTTAGAATATGGAAATCGTCTTCAACTCCAGCGAATAAAGTTTTAAGGTTTTGCAGAATTTTAAAAAACTAAACAAAAAATTACTAGAATGAAAAAATTAAGAGTAATTTTGGGTTTTAATTAAAATAAATCTTAGAGAGACAATGTTTAAGCTAGTAAATCTTAAAAGGACAAATCATTTGAGAAATTGTCTACAAATATTTGGTTGAGCTCGAATTAGATTGGAATTATATAGCATTTAACATTACTTCCCGAATTCTTTATCTTGTCTACGTTCTCGTAACTTTCCCGTTTGCCCGAGGAACTAGTGCATTTGCTCTTTACGGGCCCTAATTTTGGATTACATTCTTATTCTAAGCCCATGACAAATCTGTTTCAACCATTTACTTTTTCGATAAAACTTTACTCTTCCATTTGGTTTCGTCGGAGTAGTTGGTTCATTTCTCTAGGGTTTAAACCTCCGACATGAAAACACGGCGGAAGAGAAACGTCTCCGGCGATCCTGTTACAACAACTACGCGACGCAACACGCGATCAAGGAAATCAGAGGAGGATGGAAGAGAAAGCTCCTCATCATTGCCGATCCCAATCGAGCTCTTTGTCGATATATTCTCGAGGTTGCCGTTGAAGTCTATAGCGACATGTCGTTGCGTGTCGAAGCTCTGGTCCTCCATATTCCGCCGTCCAGATTTCACAGAATTGTTCCTGACCAAATCTTCTGCTCGGCCGCAAATCTTGTTCGCCGGGACTAGCGACGGTGAGCTCTTCTTTTCCTCGTCATCGCCGCCTAAAGTTCCGGTATCGAACTCGTCTCCTTTAGTTCCCAATCATCTTGCGCGTTTCAACTTTGATAGTTTCTGTGCAATTAGAGGTATTGTGCGTAGTTTAGTCTGTGTTCAACATCTTCGGATCTTAGATGGGCAAAAGGAAGTGGTAGTGGTGATATGTAACCCTAGCACGGGACAGTCTTTGACTTCACCTAAATTGAAGACAAGTAGAATTGGGGTGAGAAGCTATTTTGGGTATGATCCGATTGGTAAACAATACAAGGTATTGTCAATGACACAGCCAAGTGTTAACGGCTTTGCTATGGAAGGCGAGGAGCATCAGGTTTTGACATTAGGAGGAGCTGGAAACCTTTCATGGAGAATGATTGAGTGTTGCATACCCACTTGTTATCAAAAGAGGAACCGGAAACATTTCATGGAGTATGATAATGCTGGGATATGCATCAATGGACTGTTATATTATCCATCTATTTAGAGATCTACTATAGTTTGCTTTGACATTAGGTCTGAGAAGTTCAGCTTTATTAAGGAAACTGTGGAAAACGCAGTTGACGGAACCATGATAAACTGCAACGGTAAACTAGGTTTGATTATGTCTAAAGATAAGAAAGGATGGTTCTCCTCGGGTGCTGAGAGAAGAAGTAAACGTTTTGTGTTGTGGGTTCTAGAAAATCTTGAAGAACAGGAATGGTCTGAGCATATCTACGTGTTGCCGGCTGTGTGGGAGAGGATAGTTAGAGATGAAGAAGAATTGCTATGTTTTGCTGGAGTGAGTCAGGCTAATGAGATTGTGCTGTTGTCGACTGAAGGATTCTACGATCATCGACCCTACCTTCTCTACTTCAGTCTCGAGAGGAACACTTTGGTAAGAGTTGATATTCAAGAAACAGGTGTTCTTCACTATGAGAGGCATCGCCCTTATATAGACCATGTAGAGGATGTGAAGCTCTATGCAGGTGTTTAGACACTTAGGTTGTCATCTATTCTATCATCACACAGATCTTATTTGGATGATTATTTTCTTGTTTTCTTTGTGGATATTCTGATCCATTCCCTTGTTTACTCTTTACAGTGAGCAGTGGTTGTTCTTAGTTATGTTTAATTTGCTTTGTACTCTCTTCTCTTTAGAAGCAAAGCAACTTTATGGAATCGTATCTCCATGAGTTTCATGTTATTCTCGTATATCCATAGGTTGGCCAAAAAGAACAAAGTTTTGTGGTATGATTTCAACCTTGTGGTGTGTATGATAGACAATAGTGCTTTTATTACATCTCAAAGCATGTCATGCCTCAAAGAAATGATTAAAAGAAAACCTTAAAATTAAATGCTTCTCTACTGTTAATGATACTATTAAAATACATGACAACTTTGGAATGCTTCTTTGACCATCAAGTTGTGGTAAGATCTTGTGAGTTGTGGCACAATCAATCACTCGTCTTGTTCTTATTCCTCAGTGACCAAACCAACGAGCAGAACAAGAAATCTTGTGCAATTAAACTGGAAATGTAATCTCAAGAATCATAGTCGCCTCCTCCGATTTTTCAAGAATCGGGTAGAAGAAATCAATTGATTTCCCTCTAAGAACTTCTCAATCAATCTGTATGAAAAAATCCAATTTTTTCTTGCATCAGAAACGTGAAGCAAAGCAGATGAAAAAACTGCCCTTTTTCTCAAGTCTTAGCTAACTTACGAATTGCAGATTGACTTTTGCGAAGCTGCTACTTCACGGTCCGGAAAAGAATCCTCTAGCCTTAAGCTTAACCATACGTACAAATCCAGAACCTGTGTTCCGTTGTCATGCACATAATCAGACCCTAAGACTAACAAAATCCGAACTGGACCATGAACCATGGGTAAAGAAAGATGTTACCTTGTGAAGCGATTCAAGTTCCTTGAGTTCTGTTGGTGTTTTGGGAACCTTAACTATGTCGGCTCCAAATATCTCTCGGAGCTCCACAATGCGTCCCTTTGAGAATTTTTGAGCAAACTGGTGTATCAAGAAGAAAAGTGAAAGTGAACAATTATTTATCTCTCAAAAGAAAAAAGAAAAAAAACATAAGAACTTGTAGTTTTTTTTACCTGTGCAAATCCCATGCTTGATATTTCATCATTTATATCAACTGGACTGCAAGAAATCACGTTTTGATCAGTCCAATCTTATTGAATGCAAGAAACAAGAAAAGACTAAATATGTTACTTTTTGCTATTACCTAACCACGAAAAGGTACTTCTCCTGCAATTTGAGGGGTAATTCATCAACAATAGCCGCAACTTTCTGAAAATTCAAGACCAACACGTTTTTAGATAACAAACTCTCTTTTCTGATGTGTGAACAAAAGTAGATCCTCACTGTGTATATTTACCATCATGTCTTCAACATTGGAGATAAAGTAGTTTGAAGATAACTTAGCGTTTTCAACGAAATGTTCCTGCCAAAGTTAATGAGCCATGATTTCAGATCCATCCACTCATCAAAGACCAATAACAACGAAGGAAAAAACTGTTTCTTACCAAGATCTCGTACAAGCCGAGTTTAGGGTGTGCTTGTGAATACATAGACAGGAGGTCGTATGTTGGAAACAGTCCAGCACGCTGGATGATAAAAGTTTTGGTGCAAAGTTAGACAAGCACAAGAAAGTAAAAGATGCTGAGAACTAAATCTTTAAGGCTATATGATAAAATTTACTTCAATAAGAGGTGAAGGAGAGTTAAGAGAAGAATGGAGCAACGGAAGATCCTCTTTGTACAAACAAGTTACTTCGCCAACAGGGAATTTTGACCGGAATCTGCCAGCTCTCCCTACAACAGGATCATGAGAAAATTAAAACGATTCTCCATTTATTTAGTCTCTGAATCATTTACAGAACACAAACAGAGAACTAACAAAAGCAAAGAACCAAAGATATCCTAGAGCACCCTAAACTCTCCTAAACCCAAACCAAGATCCTAGACAAATTCTAAATCAAGATCCTAAACCAAGATCATATTTGTTGAATTATACCTGCAATTTGTTTAATCTCAGATACTGTTAGGTCTCTGGTCTCGACACCATCAAATTTTTCAAGGGTCGAGAAGATAATCCTTGAGATATTCAGATTAAGACCCATGCCTATTGCATCACTGGCAACAAGCACATCAAAGGCATTGGTGTCGTCGTTAAACCTTGTTGCCTGCATTCCTTTGAAAGCATTAAAATTGGAGAGAACAAATATGAACAAAAGAGATAATCATAGAGCATCCAGTTAAGTCTAGAGAAAGAACAGTAAGGAAATCAAACCTGTGCTGTGCGAGTCTCTGGAGGCAATGAACCATAAACCACAGAGCAAAGATGCTTCCCTGCCTTTTCAATTTTTTTCTACGACAAGGTACAAGAAATGAAGACACAGTAAGAGCAGATAACAAATATATACTAAGGCAACATACACCATTCAATAGCTCGTGAGGCCTAGAGCCATGTATGCATTTTAAAATGTTGCCAAAATGTTCTATTTCTTTCTGGCAGCAAACTCAAGCTAGATTATGCTAGATACAGGAAGAGAGTACAAGATTAAAAAACTGCTAACCTTAAGCTTATATATATCTCGCCGTGAAAAGGTTACAAGACAATCCCCAGTTTTAATATCGGAAACTGAGCGAACCGGAACCGTCAAAGGGACTAATGGCGAAAGCCTCTCATATTTAAGAACCTAAATACAAAATAAAAAGGATCAAGAGGTTATGGTTATGTCAAGAGTGTCTAAGAACATCATAGAATTTCCAGTATAGATAAGAAAGGGTTAGAGAAGAAAAAGGATCTCTACTCTCTAGCTCGAATAAACATGATACCTGGAGATCATCTCCAGTTACTTTCAGTATATCTTCAACAAGGGGCACGACAGCTGGATCGCCACATAAATGTAGCTCATTAGCCGCAATTCCAAGTAGAGCACGAGTAAATGCAAACCCCCTTTGTTTACACCCCACCATCTGAGATTAGGGAAAGAAAGGAGGTAAAATTAGAAGAAAACAAAAGTTATGGTCAGTATCTTCAGCCAAATGTAAGCAAGACTAGCCTGAATTTCGTCAATGATGGCACAATCGTAGACAGACGTAACATCAGCCATTTCAACTGTCACAGCTTTGTGGTTTGCACCTTCCACTAACTCTTTCTCTTGTCCCGTGATCAAATCGCATGGAACATTTGATTTGTTCAAACGTTTAGCTACCTCCCATGCCAACAATCTTAACGGACCACAATATACGCCTTCAAGTAAAATATATGCAAATCTTTAAAATTTCAGGAACTGGCTTCCAAAAAATATATATATATATATATATATATATATATAAACAAGAAGTTTAGTAGTCACCTTCTAAGGCATACCTGAAGAGCTCTGCTCAAGTTGCTTAAGGGCATTATATGTTTTCCCACTGTTTGTCGGGCCGACATGTAGAACGACTTTACGCTTCTTCTTTCGAGCGATTGGATACCATGTATGAGGACAGCTAAAAATCCAAGTTTATGACATGAATATAAATCAATTCCCCTTAACAAATATCTTCACAACAAGAGATCATAAGAATGGTTAAAGATCTAAAAAAAGGAACTGCAAAAAGAGAACCGCGATTCGTTGCTATTGGGGAGCTAACATAAAATCCAAAAATTTGTCAAACAATGAAGGTTTGGTCTTACGTGAGATCAGTGAAATCGAACTTTGAAGTTTTGGTTTCCGTGCCAGTGAAGTCGTACTTTGGGGATCCTGAGCTCTTTCTGTAGCTCCTAGTCAAGAAACCTAATCTCAAAACCTCACCAAACTCAGGTTCCAAGTGAAACCGCCACAAACTTCCCTTATCAGCTGAAACACGAAGCCATCATAAGATACAACCATAAGCAACCCAATCTTCTTCTAAAAACTACACAAGAAATGAGTGAAGAGACTACTGAACTAAAACAGAAAAAGGGTCAGATATTGCTAAAATTTGAATTTCAGAAGGTCGAAATAATTTATAAACTGGAGTCGACTATGTCTATGAAGTAAACTTTGATCGTTTCCAGCAATTTCTCAGAACCATACGAGAAACAGAAAACAGAGAGAGGGTTTCGAAGCTCGAACCTTGAAGAAGACGAGAAATCCCGAAAGCTGAAACCTTTCGAAGCCGTAGAACAGAATACGCCATTTTTTTTAATGTTGGGATTGATAGAAATACAGAACAGTTTCTTTACAGGAAGAAATCCCTTAATTCATCAAGGTCAATAAAACTCGAGTATAATCACGAAACCTCTCATTTCCATTTCAGGATTAAGTGCTTTGATTCGAAAGGAAGCTTACAGAAATTAAAATTGTTCATCGATAAAGAGTGAAATTAATCGAATAATTGTTTTATATTTAGAAACTGAAGGAAGAATCGCAGACGACCATTGTTAGACCTGATTCTTCTCAGAGGTCGGCGACTAAGCAAGAAGCGGGAGAGAGAAGAAAACGAGAGGTTGCTTGCAGAATCAATGTTAATTTACATAATAAACCTCTAATCTTTTGCTATTATCTTTTTTACACCCTCATACTTTAGAAAATTGAATTTTTAACACTATCGCACCCATTTATGGACCCCAATTAATATTTCGAAAATACCCCTCACTGTCTTCTAGAATTACCCGATCAACCCATCTTGTTCCTCAAGTCGCTTTGATCTATAAGCATAAGTCGGAATCGAAAATCGGGAAAAGATCGAACCTTAAGCCTGCGACGAACAGATCTGAAGATGGAGTGCGTATTCGGTCTCGTCGGGAATGGATTCGCCATCGTTGCGGCGGATACATCGGCAGTTCACAGTATCCTTGTCCACAAGAACAACGAAGACAAGATCATGGTCCTTGACTCACACAAGCTCGTCGCCGCAAGCGGCGAGCCTGGTGACCGGTAAAACCTCCTCCGCCTCTCTCTCTCTCTCTCTCCCTCTCTCTCTCTGAATCAGCTGATTGATTTGATTCGTTGTTTTGGGGATTTATAGGGTTCAGTTTACGGAGTATGTTCAGAAGAATGTGTCACTGTATCAATTCCGAAACGGGATCCCTTTGACCACATCTGCTGCAGCGAACTTCACTCGTGGAGAGCTCGCCACTGCTTTGAGAAAGGTGAGCTCTTTTCACTGAATTGAATTTGCGATTTGAGCTTGGGAAATTAGGGTTTATAGTTTCTTTGCATTAAGATGCTTTTATGAGATAGTGTGATTTTGGAATATCAGCAGATAAATTGGTTGCTGGAGAAATTTTTAGTGTGTTGGAGGAGGTGATAGATAATGTGCTTATTCTTGGTTTGTTTTACTCGTTTTGATACAATTTAATTGAGATTGTGTGCTAATGAGTTATTGGATTGAAAATTTCCTCTGTTTTGATGATTTATGCTTGTTGATATGTTGAAGCCCTTGGGTTCTCTCGGGTTTCAGTTCCTCCTCTAACATGTGGTTTTAAAGATTATTGTTGATTCAAGAAGTTCTGAGATTCAGAACATGAGTTTTTAAGTTATTAGAGAATTAAGTTCTCCAATTGTGATTTCATTACCGCATAAATTATATGGATGCAGCTGGAAGAAACACCTATGTTTTCATTAATGAGATGATCAAAGAATTTGAACAAAGGAATGAGACTACTCCAAAAACTTTGCTTTGATTCAAAACTTTGTTGCGGTTTTGTAAATTCAAGGAACTTTCCTGTTCTGTGCTTGGATGTTAATATGTCATAGAAGACACTCTTCGGGTTCGTTGAAGTAACAAAGTTTAGAATCGTGACACCTATTTTGGCGGAAAGTTGATACTCTAATCAAAACTGATAGTCTCCTATGTTCAAGCTTGATAAGTTATTGTAATGGCTTTGAATAAGAATGTGCAAAGACTAGGAAGTTTGTGGGCCTCCTTGAAAACGTAGGAAGCTGTATACTCATGCGTAGCTGATTTGTGATCTTTGGCTGATTTAGATTCTTCCAAAATTTAGAATTTATTGAGGGGTATTATTATATGCTGTGAGACCTATGTGGCCTTTGCTTAATACTGCTAATTGACACTGAAAATGCCAATGATAGAAACTCTATTAGTTTCAAACAGTAGATCTTAATATTGCGCTTAACCAACATGAGATCTCTCAATTGGTGATTTGTTCTGTTTGATTGCAGAATCCGTATTCTGTGAACATCCTGATGGCTGGCTACGACAAAGAAGCAGGCGCATCACTATACTACATTGACTACATTGCAACTCTTCACAAGGTTGATAAGGGAGCATTTGGCTACGGCTCATACTTCTCTCTCTCCACAATGGACAGACACTACCGCAGCGACATGACTGTGGAAGAAGCCATTGAATTGGTCGACAAATGCATACTTGAGATCAGGTCGAGGCTGGTCATTGCACCACCAAACTTTATCATCAAGATCGTCGACAAAAACGGAGCTCGTGTCCACGCTACGCGTCAGTCTGTACAAGACGTCACTACTGCTGCTGTCTGATTGAGTCTTCGTTAATGTTATGAATTTTAAAAGCTTTCTTGGAATATTAAGTTCTCAGATCATGATTATGATGATATGACTCTGTGTTTGGAACTTTGAAATGAAAAAGAAACAGTTTCATTCTTGCCCTTAGAGCTAAAACATCTTTCTTATTCTACTGTATATCATTCTTGCTTGAATCACTGTACACTGAAAATTCAGATTGAAAAAGGAAAAAGAAGAAGTAAACCTAAACACACAGATTGTTTCAGATGCGAGTGAGGAAGATAGACGTGGCTAAAGTCATGATGATGGTCAATAGAAACAAGAAGTTTCTGGTGTTTTGAGAGTCGTTGGAGATGGATTGTGGAAGTGGTGATGGTGGTGATGACAAGGAAGCTGTTTCTTCTGGTGAGAATTGATCGGAGATTGGTGAATTCCCGACGGTTTCCGGTGCTAATCCGACGGAGGATTGAGGAGAAGCAGAAACTCGATCACCTGCAGATTTATCAAATTAAGCTCGTCTCAGTTCAACGAAACATTACCGAATCCACGAAAATCGAATTCGTTTCTCAAAATCTTACCAGGAACAAACGGAGATTTGAACTGGATACTCTGAAGCGGCGGAAGCTCAGGCGACTCTGCACCACACAGAATCAAAATCCCTAAGATTCGATCAATCGATTCAAATTGGATTTAGAGGAATCGAAATTAAACCTGATGGCGAACAGCGAGACTCGAAATATTCGTCGTTGGAGCTCCGATCGATACACATCTGGGAAAGAGAAAGCAATCTAGATCTATCCAACGGGAATCCGAGGATCATCGGCTGCCGGAGAAGATAACAGAGGCAGTTTCCGGCGCTGGAATGAACAGAAGATGAGAAAACCGAGCAGCAGAGTTGATTCGGCGTCTCTGACATGTTGTTCGGCGGAGCGGAGACGAAAGGAAGGCACGGAGAGAACATAACCAGCTCCTCCGTACAGGTCAGAACCGGTGAAGAAGATGGTGCCTGCGTAGTCGCGTCCACGGCGGAGGAGGAAGAGAAGGTGATCGAAAGTATGAGGATGAACACGACGGTGGTGATTTTGGCGGCCATTTTTTTGCTTTTCAGAGATCTCTCCTTCGTGATTTTTCAGTTACAGAGAAAGTGACGACTGAGACTCAGCGTAACGATGGTGGCGGGAAATAAAAGAACTTTCAGGAGGTCTTGATAATTCCCTGTATTTACGAATTTGCCCTTAGAGCTTGATTTTAACGGAACGAGACGCTGAGTTGGCAGTGATAGCCAATGAGGATGCGTACACGTGGGAAGACAGTTTAGTTTGGGCTTTTTGGATAAAATATTAAAGCCCATAATTTATGTTTTCGACTTTTTTTTTTTTGTAACATCTATTATATTAATCAGATTGTAAAAGGAGCATACAATAAGTTTCGAATCCAAACAGGTGGACTACTATAAATAATAGATAATACATGTTGCTCCCCAGCTTTTTTTGCTAAAAGGTCTGCAATCTGATTCTTTTCCCTGTTACGCTTTGCAATCCACCATCTTATATCTGTTAAGATATTTCCAATTTCTGTGCTTTCTCCAGTTGTGTTAATGATCCGAGTTAAAGTCTTGTTATTCCCTTCAAACCAGACTTTTCGCCATCCTTGACTCCAAATAGTTTGTACAACATGTAGAAACCCAAGTGCTTCTGCCTGAAGTGAATTCTGTGCTTGTGGTAACTTAGCTAATCCTGAAATGACGTGAGTTCCTTTATGATCCCGCAAAATCCATCCCACTGGCTGTATATAAATCATCGTTCACATGGGTACTATCAAAATTACATTTTAACCAACCTTGAGGTGGCGGCTCCCAAGCAGAACTTTTAACTAATTGAGCATCATTACTCTCTGTTCCATAGAACCCCTCTGTTGTGGTTACTGCGACCCATTCTTGTGATCCTTGTATACCTTTATTTGCAACTTCCATGGGAGTTGAATCTTTTTGCTGAAAAATGTTTTCGACTTTTTTTTAGTTTAGTTGACTTTTGAAATTTACATTTTCTTTTACTTTTTTTTTTTTCAACGACATTTTCTTTTACTTAAGAGTGTGTGTGGCCTTGTGATTTATTTGAGTGTGTAGAAATTTTTTCATAAAGCCAAGATCTATCTTTACTATCTCTGTTTTTTTTTTTGTCATTGTAAACGATTTAAATAACAAAGTATCTAATTTTCTTGAGATTTCGAGAATTAATCAAAAATAAAATACTTTGTGACTCAAGCCTTTTTTTTTAACAGAATTGGTATAGACATGTTTATATTTGTTACTTATCTTGAAAATCATGAAAACTAAGAGTCTGTGGACTTGTGATTTGTTTGAGTAGGTAAAAAAATTGTTATGAAATCAAGATCAATTTTCACTATCTATGAAAATCTTAGAATTTCTTGTTGCTGTCATTGTAAACACTTTAAATGGCAAAAATATCAAGTTTTCTATGGATTTTGAGAATTTGCCTGATCCTAGATAGGAGTTATACCTCGATTATTAATTATTCTTTATAATTATTATATCATGTAAGGAACACATGCATATTCAGAACGCAACTTCACCAAAAAGGTGTTGCAAAAGTTGATCATCCATATTGAGCCACATCCTTATTGTCGTCATTTTCTACGGCATGAGTAACGTATTTATCTTAGTTGCAAAAAAGCACTCCAACACAAAATACCATTTAAACTCAAACAACCAATTAAAAAAACAAACTCTTGAGAGATTTTGGAACAACGCAAAGAAAAACATGAAACCTGAAATGTGTTTACTGTTGCTGCTTGCAGTGGTGTCGACAATTTCTGCTCAGTCGAGCTGCACAGACGTCATATTCAGTATGGCTCCATGTCTGGTCTACGTCACCGGAAACTCTTCTTCTCCTTCTCAACAATGCTGCAACCAGTTGGCTACTGTTGTCAGGTCTTCTCCTGAGTGTTTGTGTGAGGTTCTCAGTGGTGGAGGTTCTCAGCTTGTGATCAATGTTAACGAAACACAAGCTCTTGCTTTGCCTAAAGCTTGTAATGTACAAACTCCTCCTGTTAGTCGCTGCAATGGTAAAAAAGACTCTGTTTTTGTGGGATCACTTTTCCATTAGCTGTCTCTTGTCTTTCACGCATTACGAGTTTGTTATTTTGCAGGTGGTTCTTCGGTTAATTCTCCTGCAGGATCATCAAACACTTCAGGTAAAGGTGACTAAATTATTTGGAGTAAAGAGATTAAAGGGTTGTGGTATGGAAACCTAACTAAGTCTATGAACAGAACATGGAAATGGATCGAAAACAGTTCCAGGAGACCGGTCATCGTCTGATCTTTGGAGAGCACAGTACGATGAAAGTTGTAAGCTGTGTTCGGGGGGGAGTTCTTGTCTATCGTTGGCCTCTATGGTAGAATTTTCTTTTTATTTTATTTTAAGAAATCCATAAAGCTTTTGAGCCTCTATGAAGATCCATAAAGCTATTGAATTCAAGTGTATTTAGGTGTTGTATGATATATTTTGTGCTTTATTAAAATCCTGCTTTTTGGGTGATATTGGTTTGTAGCTGCAAAGAGTGTGTTGTATCTATTTGCTTTATGCAATAAACATTACACTAAATCAGTTGCTTGCTTCTAAAAAGAAGAGAGTACACAAATTAAACATAACTTAATAAAACCATTGCTCACACAGATAACAGAAAATAGTCATCCAAATAAGATATGTGTGATGATGAAATAGATGACAACCTAAAACAAAACAAAGTCTCTCAAGTTATGAAGTACTTGCATAGAGCTTCACATCCTCTACATGGCCTAGATAGGTGTGACACACATCAATTCCTTGGATATCAACACTTACAACAGTGTTCCTCTCGAGACTAGGGTAGAAAAGGTAGAGACCATGGCCCGACGATAAAACAATCTCATTAGACCGAGTCACTCCAGCAAAACTTAACCAGGCTTCTCCAACTATATTCTTCCACACAGCCGGCAACACGTAGATATGCTCAGACCACTCCTGTTTCTTGGGGTTTTCTAGAACCCACAACAAAATACTTCTATTGCTTATATGAACACCCGACCGGACACGCCCATTATTATTTTTGGAGAGAATTAAACCTAATTTACCATTGTAGTCTACCATAGTTCCAAGGGACACTGCATGTACAAAAGGTTCCTTGACTAAGCTATACTTCTCAGACCTAATGTCAAAGCAAACTATTGAATAACTCTTTGTAGATCTATCAATTGATGGATAATACAAAACACCATTGATGCATATGTCTTTATGTAGGTAATAATGATATAAGATTGGAATCACACCAAGTCTTATAATTCACAAGGTTGTCAAGGACAACAAGCTTTGTTGGCGGAAGGTGGAATAGATGGTAGAGATGGTGCGATGATAAGATGATTGACTCACTCAATCTGTTGATGATAGACTCTCTATCAAGTGATCGAACAAACTACTTGAATCACACAAATAGTTTAATCCAAGAATTCTAATAAACAATGTGAATCACACACAATATTCAAAAGAAATAACTCTTGCAAAGAGCTCTTTTTGAAGAAAAACGAAAATGCTTTATTACTTTAAGATTGAATGGTGATTTGTACAAATGATATAATGAGCTTTATATAGAGCTCTTACAATGTTCTAAACTCTAAAAATAAGAAAAGAAATCTTAGCAATAAGAGAATATAGCCGTTGGAGCTATTATGGCGAGAATCGGCCAAAGTAGAGGAAGTGATGTAGCCTTTGATCTGGACGGTTTGAGGGGATAGGTGAGCTTCTCTGGCACATTAGTTTCTTCATAAAACACGTCCAAGTTGTAGCATTCAAGAGAAAAGAGCTGTTGGTGAGATATTCCTCAAAGTGTTAATGCATCTATATATGGCAAGTGAAGTTGCAGAAGGATCCGCCTGATCCTGTGGGTGCTGGTGCATGGGAAGGTGTTTCTAAGCTTCCTTAGTTGCCTTAGAGTCTCTCCTGGGCGCCAAACCTTTGTAGATAGCGAACTAAACCAGTCAGAGCTCGGACCTGCCATAAATAGAACCAAGTCAACCCGTTTTGGGAAATTGAGTGTAACTTGAGGATCCAACGGGCAATTCTTCGGATCTTGAGCTTGTTGGATCAAAGAAAGACCAAATAATATTCTCCAAGTAATTTTGGGCTGAGAACATGGATGAGTTGGGCTGTAGAGCACGATCTTCAGCCTAGCTGCGCAGTTGGGTCTGAAACGGATCTTCCAACTTGTAAAATGAATAACTTCCCAACCAGAACCGGTATTGGTTTGATTTCAATTGTCTCTGATTCTATGATGAGTCAAGAATCGGGAACAAGTCGGTTTACAGCTTAAATCATTCTGGTTCAATCGGAAACCTTCAATTACGGCACGTATGTCCAAATCGTGGAAGTTAGACATCACCTGATTTGTAAACTGAATAACTCCTTCTTCTGAGCTCCAATTGGACTGATTCCACTTCGAGGCGTTCACTGGGTGAGATAGAAATGTAATACAAGTGTTGGTCGAGCTGGACCACTTGATCTCGGACTTCATCAGTGCTGAATAAGGCGCATGGGTCTTCTTGGGTGGCTTGAACATGCTTTGGCAAAGAGTTTGAGTTGATTCTTGAGAATCTTCATTTATGGGTCGACCCAAAAGTGTTTTGGCTCGATCATATCCTTCATTGATGGCATTTTGTTGGTGAAACTCCAAGTTTTCATCCCTGCTTCTGTTGGGCTCGCCTTTATGCTCCATTGTTTTCTCCGGTTCAGCTTCTATAAGATATCTCTCGGCTTCGGATGGGCCGTCTGGTTTGTCTAAGGTCATTGGGGTCTCTTTGTGATGGTTTGCTGGGTCGATGACCACATCAAATAATAATGTGGTATGCAACACTTGATTGTTCTCCATGACAGGTTTCCAGTTCCTCCTAGTGTTAGAACCTGATGATCCTCACACTCCACATCGTCTTCAACCCTTGGTCGTGTCATTGACAATACCTTGTATTGTTTATCAATCGGATCATACCCAAACAAGCTCCTTACCCCAATTATCCTTGTCTTCAAGTTGGGTAAGGTTAAAGATTGTCCCGTGCTAGGGTTACATAACACCACCACTATTTCCTTTTTCCCCTCTAAGATCCGAATATTTTCAACACAGACTAAACCATGGACATGACCTCGAATTTCAGAGGAACTATCAAAGGTGAAACGCGCAATGATAGGGAACTAAAGGAGACGAGTTCGATACCGGAACTTTAGGCTCCGATGATGAGGAGAAGAAGAGCTCACCGTCTCTCCTCCCGGCGAATAAGATTTGCGGCCGAGCAGAAGACCTGGTCAGGAACAATTCTGTGAAATCTGGACGGCGGAGTATGGAGGACCAGAGCTTCGACACGCAACGACATGTCGCTATAGACTTCAACGGCAACCTCGAGAATATCTCGAAAACGAGATCGATTGGGATCGGCATTGAGGATGACGAGCTTTCTCCTCCATCCTCCTCTGATTTCCTTGATCGCGTGTTGCGTCGCGTAATTGTTAGACGATCGCCGGAGACGTTACTCTTCATGGCGGAGGTTTAAACCCTAGAGAGACGAACCAACCACTGCGACTTCCACCATTTCAAGTGGCTAACCAAACGGAAGAGTAAAGTTTTAGGGAAAAATGCCAAAAACAAAATATCTTTAACTATTTAATTTTTGAATGAAACTAATACAAACTTTTAACATTCCCAAAAACCTATATAAACTATTTTTTCTATCTATAAAAATATTTAAATTTTTTAAAATTTCATTTTCCCATCTAATTTTACGGCCGTTAACAATCATAATAAAATCAATAAACAATGCTAATTTTTTGTATAAAAAAATTCTAAAAAAATATCTCAACTATTTAATTTTTCCATAAATCCACACAAACCTTTTGCGTTGTCAGAAATTCACACAGACTATTTTCAATCTATAAAAATTCACAAATTTTTTAAAATTCTAATTTCCCTCCTCAGATTTCACGATCATTAACATATATAATGGAATCAAGAAACTAGATTAGTTTTCCATAATACATGCAGATTGCTGTTAGATTAATACTATTGTTACCCTTATAAAATTTCTAAATCAATTTGGGGAAGAAAAAACCTAATTAAACTTTAATTTTTTTCTCTCACTCTTTCAAACATTGAGTAAAATTGGTTGAAAATGTGGTAAGTAGAGCAATAAATCATGTTTGGAACACATACATTATCTCCTCGAATTGCTCTTATTAGTCTTATATATCACAATATATACTGTTTCCAACTCGATTTAGACTACTAACCATATTTTTTAACCAATTTTATTCAATTTTTAAAAGAGAGAGAAAAATTAGGGTTTAGGTTTTCTTTCCAAAATCGATTTTTGGGATTTTCTAAAGGTAACAATAGTATCAATCCTACGGCAGTTAGTATGTGTTACGAAAAACTAACATAACGGCCGTGAAACTTGAGGAGAAAAAATGGAACTTAAAAAGTTTGGGTATTTTTATAGATCGGAAAATAGTCTGTATGGATTTTTGACAACACAAAAAGTTTCTTTTGGTTTCTGAAAAAATTAAATATTTATGTATTTTTTAGCATTTTTCTTATAAAAATTAAAAATGTTTATTGATTTGTTATATTCGTTAACACCCGTGAAATCAGAGGAAAAAAAAAATAAAACTTTAAAAAAATTACATATTTTTGTTAATCTAAAAAATAGTTTAAGTAAATTTCTGATAATGTTTAAAGTTTGTGTGGATTTTTTTAAAATATTAAATAGTTGAGATACTTTTTTGGCAATTTTCCCTTTATATCGATGAGAAGAGTGAGTTAAAACAAATTTATGAAATAATGGGCTTAGAGTAAGCTCATGTAACCTAAAATAAGGGCATGTAAGGAGCAATGCACGAACTAGTAGTTCTTCGTAATCAGTATACTTTTCTTTTTAACATTCTAAATTTTTAAGTAAATTAAAAAGTTTACAAATTTGGTCATCTATAGGCTAAATTATTTTTTTAATATTCAGAATGAATTATGAAGCAAAACTTGTAAAATTGATAACATCATATTTTTATTTATTTATATATTGTATCAGCTGATCTGATCAATTCGATAAAAAGACATTAAAATATGCTATAGAATGGATTTCTTCCAAGTTCAATAGACACCATAAACTCTTAGTGAACTCAGATTAAAATGTCATAAGATCTAACAGCTCATCACACTATCTGTTTCGAATTTGAAATGTCTTCTGAGTAATGTTATGGGTTAACATAATCATCTGTTACCGGGTGGCAAACTGTCTAGACCTAAATCTCATACCCATATTTTCTACACAAATATAATTTTCGTTTTGAGGGAGGTTTGAATTCGGGGGGAGGAGGGAGCGTCTTTCACAATGTTATGCTAATTCTAGAGATTTTAAGGCTGGAATCTACATTCGAACAATTATATGGGTAATGCCATCCTTCTACTTAGGTTTATAACACTAGATATTATGGTCATGCTACATGTCCGGATTAGTATTTAGTCCGATGTACTCAGTGGCAGAGATAGGGTATAGAGAGAGGGGTCATTTGACCCCTGTGTATTTCTAAAAATATTATATACATTTATACTTTTTTAAAAAAAATAAGTGAAATATTGAAAATTTAGTTTAATGACTCCTGTAGAATTTGCTCCGAAGACATTGTAAATTAAAATTAATCCCTGTAAAATTTTTGGCTAACTCCACCGTGTACTAATTTAAACATGCAGAATTGTATGAAAAATTACTTTTTGAACTCCTGCTTAAGTCCATGAATTCACCGGACTGAATACAGCCAGCTGCTTGGTCCCTAATCAAAATCTGGACCATATAACCCACATTTATTCCTAGAAGTTCTGGAATACTCCTAAAAAGGCAATATTTTTACGTTTTTAAAAGCCCACAACACATGTTAACACACGAAATTATTTACTTGCGTCTAGTTTGTCAAAAACTATGTCACGTTTAAAAACCATTAGAAAACTCATAAACAGATTTTCTGACGTGTATAAGTTTTTGGTTCATATTACTACATTGCTATCGGAATAAACATTGATAAATAATTTTAATTTAATATTAAATTAAAATCATGTGTATTATTACGTGGATCCTAATTTAATTTTTAATATGATAAAAAGAACTTATAGTGGTGATAACTACAATGCTATAAATAGAAACGCATGATGTAGAAACTGTAGACAAACAATTTATATATGGCTGAAATCTGGAAGACAGTTAATGGCAAGAGTCAAACAAATGTCTAGAGAAAGTCAAGGCAAAAATGGCAACGGAAACTAACTAACACCCACAAAATTCCCATTTTAAACTCACGCCGACAAAATTTGTGCCAAAATAATATAGGACATGATAAACATATTGCAAAATGATGATTAAAAAAATAGCGATTCTGCAAACTCTGTTACATGACTATAATATAAAAGCTTGTGAACTAAAAGGCTATAGGACAATACAACTATTTTGGTGGATCCTAAAACTTGGCTGCTAAACCAAGATCGACTTGGTAAAGAATTAGTTGTCTTTGTTCATGAGTTTTAACTTTTAATTGGTATGAGTGTCAAATAATTGAAGAGTGGACCCCTAAGTCCGACCACCTTTGTCTCCATTTCCACAAATCACAATTCCATGTCTCTTAGAACATGGAGCCAGTTATTATTGCAACTAGGACTTGCTCTTCCTAATCTTATGTATTTTCAAATCTTTATCAATTTACACAAACATTGATGTCTTGCACTAATTATTGTCATTCTACGTGGATTAACACATCTAATGTTTTTTGGTCCACCTTGAAATCGAGGAATTATGTGTAATAATGTAATGCATTTGCTCTACTTCTCAACTTCAAGATAATTCCAATGTGTAATAATACATTTGCTCTCTACTTCTCAACTTCTCTAGACTATAATATTAATTGTTGTTCCAAGTCTAGAGCCAACAAAGAAACCCCACCATGCAAGTTCATGTATATTATAATGTTTATATAACTAACGATTGGCTTTGGTGTCTAATATTCTCCTATCCACGCATTCCATCTTCAATCTATCATTTTAGAACATTTTATCCTTTGTTTTTTTATATACACAAGTTATATATTTTGAAGCCATAGATTGGTTAAATAATGGAGATCGAATCGGTAACGTGCGAGTGTTGCGGCTTAAAGGAAGATTGCACACAACATTACATTGCTAAAGTCAGAACAAACTTCGCCGGAAAATGGCTTTGTGGGCTTTGCTCCGAGGCGGTGAGTGACGAATTCAGCCGTAGTCTGAAGGCTACGACGGTGGAGGAAGCTGTGAACGCCCACGTGTCGTTTTGCGGCAAGTTTAAAGCTAACCCGGCAGAACTCGTAGCTGACGGCATGAGACAGATGCTAAGGAGGAGGTCCGGTGACTTATCTCCGGCTAAGTCCAAGAAGTTTGGAAGATCTAACACCACGTAATCGTTGTATACTCATCCTTTTTCTCTTAGTGTTTTCTCTTAGTGTCAATGTATAATATAATGAAAATATAAAATCAGCACTTTGAGTCACCAGTAATCTCTACAAGAACACAAGCCGTTTATATATCTGTGAAACCTAGTTCGATCTCTCACTATGATCTCCCGTTCATACACTTTAGAGACCAGCTTCAAGAACGTGTGACAATCCTCACAAACCCTCAGATTCTTCACTATCCTAATAACAACGCTCGAGCCTTTCTCTTCTTTGTCCATACTCATCAAACCGAGGCAAAGCGCGAGCTTTTCGCTATGCCAAAGAACCAAATCCTTCTTTTCTTCCTCCTCTACATCCACCAATACACTACCAGAGTCTGGAACGTAACCGGCCGGCTTTAGTCTACTTACAACCTCGTCTAGCTTCGCATAAATCTCATCTGATTGCTTATGCCTCTTGTCACCGATGAGAAACTCGTGAGAAACCCCGTTTAAGTCAATCCGGCTAAGACCTTTCTCCTTGAACACATTCTTTTCCTCCATTACACGTCTTATGTTCCTTACACCGTCCCATCTCTGTTCTCTCGCGTAGATATTGGACATTAGCACAAGAGCCCCGTCATGATCAGGTTCCAGCTCGAGGATGTGTTTAGCTGCATATTCACCTAACTCAATCTCGCCGTGGACTCTGCAAGCTGACATCAGAGATCCCCAGATGACAACATTAGGCGCCATTGGCATTGATTCTATAACTTCAAGAGCTTCTCGTAAGCGATTAGCACGGCCAAACAGATCAACCATGCATCCATAATGCTCGAGTTTTGGAGTAATGTTGTATTCATCAGTCATTGATGCAAAGATCTTCTTGCCTTCTTCAACTAATCCTGAGTGGCTACAACCGTAGAGCACTCCTACAAAAGTAACAGCATTGGGCTCGACAGTTTCCTGCTTCATTCGAGCAAACGAGGTAAGTGCATCATCGGCTTCTCCATGCATAGAAAACGCATTGATCATAGAGCTCCACGACACTACATCCTTCGTTGGCATCTTCTCAAACACATCTCTCGCTGCATCCAAACGTCCACACTTCGCATACATGTTAATGAGAGCATTATTTACTGTCAATGACGATTCAAACCCATTAACATGTGTGTACTCGTGAACCCATTTCGCTTTCTCTAAAGCTCCGAGATTCGCACAAGCTGATATAACACTACACATGGTAATCTCATCAGGTTTTACTCCAGAGAGACGCATTTCCTCGAAAATTCTTAAAGCTTCTTCAGGATGATCACTTTCAGCATAAGTTGAGATCATCGTAGTCCAACACACCAAATCTTTCTTTCTCATTTGATCAAATACATCCCTGGCTTCGTCGAGCCTCCCAGCTTTCGAAAACCCTGAAACCATAGCAGTCGAAACGAACAAGTTCCTCACTGGCATCTTCATATAAAACTCCATTGCCATATCCATACAGCCTACTCCAGCATACATATTCACAAGAGCAGTCAGCAAATGATTGTCCATCCTAACATCATTCTCTTTCAAGAAACCGTAAATCGCTCTGTTATAGCTCGTGTTTCCAACACGACCACACGCGGATACAATGTTACAGAGAATCATCTCATCTGGAATCACATTAGAACTCTGCATCTCCTCAAAAAGCTTGAAAGCTTCATCTACAAGCCCGCATCGGCAATACCTGCAAACAAGCTTAAAGTTAACAACTTTAGTTAAGAGATAAGAAACACTAAACAACATTTGCATTATATGATCCTAACCTCTCAATCATAGTATTCCACGTAACAACATCTCTCTGCGACATTTCGTCGAACATGTTGCGCGCCTCGACGATTCTTCCGCAAGAACCGTACATGTCCATGAGACCAGTCTGTACAAACGGGTCAGAGAGTGTCGCCATCTTCAACGCAACGCCGTGAAGCTCCAAACCCTCTAACAAGGCCGAGACTTTAGAGGCTGCTTTAAGAATCGGAGGGAAACTGAATTGATCGAGACGACCACCGGCATGTCTAATCCTCTGGTAAAACAGGATCGTCGCTCTGAATTCGCCGGAACGAGAGAGATTCCGGAGAAGGGGATTGAACACGATGGATTCCGGCGGAGATGGGATAGATGAGAAGAGGGAGAGAGCGTAACTGAAACTGATAGAGGAAGAAGAGGAGAGGTTGAAGAGAAAAGAGCTGAGGCGATGGTCGGAAACTGTACGCAGGATATGCGCATGGAGTTGCTTGACGTGGCTAAGTGTTTTGCAGAGTGAAAGTCTGTCTAGAGCAGCATTTGCGGCGGCGGAGGCGGCGGTTGAGGGTATCGGCGGCGGAATGGGCATCGGAGTCAGCTACACATGAAAAATCGGAGAATGCATCTGATATGATCAAGAACTGGGTTATTGGGCCTATACTGGGCTTCATTATTGGATATCGTTTAAATCCTATTAGAGGGATTGTAAAAAAGTTGCTTAACATTAATATAATAATTTTTTTTTGCTTTAAGAATAATTAAGCAACTTTTAGCATCAAGTGTTGCATTAGTGGATTGGGTAAGAATTGTTTAGTAATAAAAAATTAATATTTTTTTGTAAAAAAATTTATTAACTTAATCTTTAATTTAAACATTCATTACATATTAAACAAGATTATAGAACAGTATATGAAATTATTAAAATTCAAAATACAGATATTTAAAAGAGAAGAGTGAGATTTAAGAAGTTTGTGAAAGATAAAGAACCCCCAATTTTTTTTTCCGATTCAAAACCCTAATTTCGAAGAAAACAGAACAAATCCGCATAAAATAAAACAAATCTCTCAAAAATGACTAACCTTATCCTTCTGAGGATTCAATCCGCTGGAAAACACCTGAAATCGCCATCGATTTGCTCCGACAAGAAATCCCCGATTATCGCCTTCGAAATCGCCATGAGAGAGAGGTTTCTTTTTTTTTTTTCTCAGAAAATGTGAACTGGCCAAATTTTTTTTTCTTTTCGCAAACACAGATAATTTTTTCGTCCGGCCAATAAAATTGCGACACGTCGCCTATGAGATTGTGTATGGGTCGGCCCTTAAAACCCTTAGCTATGGGTCGACCCTTTTTTTTTAGACTCCCTTTCTAATATTATAACCCAAAATATTATTATGCAACCCATTCAATTTTTGTTAAGGGTCTCTAATGCTCATGCTCTTAGTTTCATGTGTTGCCGTGTACTTTGATTTGTCCCACATCGACAAACTTGGATAATTGAGAAGGGGAAGCTGCATTATAAATAAGAGTCTTCATCTTTCCCTCTCAACGATGATGAATATTTGTATAAAGGTACAAACTTTAAGGACATCCAGAGTTGAATTTAGCAGAGATCTAAGCTCACTTACAAGAGTACAACTGATCAATGATCCTCCCCTTTAGCCCCTAAAGCTCGGGATGAATTGACCATTATACCGTTCTCGCAGGGAATATCAAATTACCATTATGCCATTCAATGTTATTCACCGGCGTGAGCTATGATCTTACTGATCGCCGGAGTAAGTTATTATGAGCCTCCACACCGCGGATGCGCTTGGGTTACTCCTCAAGAATGCAATCTCCACGAGTTCCTTGCGTTCTGGCCGCGTCGTCCACGCCAGAATCGTCAAAACACTCGATTCACCACCTCCTCTGTTTCTCACAAACTACCTCGTCAACATGTACTCAAAACTCGACCAACCCGAATCGGCCCGGCTCGTTCTCCATCTGGAACCTTCTCGAAACGTCGTTTCTTGGACCTCGCTCGTCTCCGGGCTTGTTCAAAACGGTCATTACTACTCCGCATTGTTCGAATTCCTCGAAATGCGACGAGAAGGTGTTTTCCCAAATGACTTCACTTTCCCTTGCGTTTTCAAATCCGCTGCTCTGTTGCGATTGCCCGTTACTGGGAAGCAGATTCATGCACTTGCTGTGAAGTGTGGACGGGTAATGGATGTGTTCGTTGGGTGTAGCGCTTTTGATATGTACTGTAAAACTAGGCTCAGGGACGATGCTCGGAAGGTGTTCGATGAAATGCCTAAGAGGAACCTTGAAACTTGGAATGCTTACATGTCTAACTCTGTGATTGATGGAAGGCCAAAGGAAGCTATTGAAGCCTTTATAGAGTTTAGAAAGATTGGTGGACACCCAAATTCGATAACTTTCTGTGCTTTCCTCAACGCGTGTTCGGACAAGTTGTTGTTGAGTCTTGGAGAGCAGTTGCACGGGCTCGTGTTCCGTTCTGGGTTCGATAGAGATGTGTCTGTGTGCAATGGTTTGATCGATTTCTACGGAAAGTGTAAGAAGGTTCGCTGCAGTGAGTTTGTATTCGGTGAAATGGGTGAGAGAAATGTTGTTTCTTGGTGTTCGTTGGTGGCTGCGTTTGTGCAGAATCACGAGGATGAGAAGGCGTCTCTGTTGTATCTACGATCAAGGAAGGACATTGTCGAGACCTCTGAGTTTATGATCTCGAGCACTCTGAGTGCGTGTGCTGGTATGGCAGGTCTTGAGCTGGGAAGATCGGTACATGCTCACGCCGTGAAGGCTTGCATTGAAAGGAGTCTCTTTGTTGGAAGTGCACTCGTTGACATGTATGGAAAATGCGGATGCATAGAAGATTCAGAACAAGCGTTCGATGAGATGCCTGAAAAGAATTTAGTAACGTTAAATTCACTCATCGGAGGATATGCTCATCAGGGCCAGGTTGATATGGCATTAGCGTTATTTGAAGAAATGGCACCTCTGACTCCAAATTACATGACGTTTGTGTCGTTGCTCTCTGCTTGTAGTAGAGCAGGGAATGTGGAAAACGGTATGAAGATATTTGATTCGATGAAGAGTAGCTATGGAGTTGAGCCAGGTGCTGAGCATTATTCCTGCGTCGTGGACATGCTAGGTCGAGCCGGGATGGTGGAAAGAGCTTATGAGTTCATAAAGAAAATGCCGATTAAACCAACAATCTCGGTTTGGGGTGCTTTGCAGAATGCTTGTAGGATGCATAGTAAGCCAGACTTGGGAATAATAGCAGCTGAGAACCTTTTTAAACTTGACCCTAAAGACTCAGGAAACCACGTTCTTCTCTCTAATACACTTGTAGCAGCTGGGAGGTAAGTTAACATTAGGTCGAAAGTTTGGTTTTTTTTATTCTCTCTTTGAATGCTAATGAATCTAGCTGATAAACGATAGGTGGGTAGAAGCAAACACCGTGAGAGAGGAGATGAAAGGCGTAGGGATCAAGAAAGGAACAGGGTACAGTTGGATCACGGTGAAGAACCAAGTCCACACCTTTCAAGCTAAGGACAGATCCCATAAGATGAGCAAAGAGATTCAGAGAACGTTGAGCAAGCTAAAGAATGAAATGGAGGCTGCAGGGTACAAGCCGGACCTGAAACTCTCGCTTTACGATGTGGAGGAAGAGGAGAAAGCAGCGGAAGTCGCGCACCACAGCGAGAAACTGGCTTTAGCGTTTGGCTTGGTGGCTTTACCACTCGGTGTTCCCATTAGGATCACTAAGAACCTTAGGATCTGTGAAGATTGTCACAGCTTTTTCAAGTTTGTCTCTGGGAGTGTGAAGAGAGAGATCATTGTGAGAGACAATAACCGGTTTCATCGGTTCTTGGATGGGTTCTGTTCTTGTAAAGATTATTGGTAATTTAGTTTAACATTTAAAAATATAATTTTTTTTTTTGATAAAAAGTTGGATCCAGCTACGTTATGGATTATAGCATTTCACTACGTGACATCCTCTTAAATTCTTAATAGAAAGTTTTTTGTATGTGTATATATAAGCATTGTCCAAAAAAGTCATAATCATTCTCATCCTTAATCACATTTGATTAATTTAACAACTAAACAAACCAAAAAAAAAATGTCGAATTTTCTAAGAAAGAAGCTACACCTCTGTTTCTCCTCCTCCGGTGGTCTCTCACCGTCGATTCCTTCTTCTCCGATTATCGTATCAACTCACAACAACCCTCCATCTCATCACCATACTCCCTCGATCTTCATCAACAACTTCAATTCCCTCTACGATCACCTCTCTGTTTCCTCTCCTCTCCACCGTCGCCACCGTTCCGATAATCACTTCTCCGCCGCCGCCGCCGCATTCACCATACCAAAATCCGGTGACATTGGATCCGCTAGAACAGCCGAATTGTTCGACGAAGAAGAAGAAGAGGACGATTATGCCGTCGTGTCAAAGCTTTTAAGCGGCGGAACGGCGATTATGAAGCACATTGAGTCACCGGATCCGTACAGAGATTTCGGGAGGTCAATGAGAGAGATGGTGGAAGCTAGGGATCTGATGACGAGAGACGTCGCCGACGATAGAGAATACTTGCACGAATTGCTCTTCTGTTATCTCTCCTTGAATCCGAAACATACTCACAAATTCATCGTCTCTGCTTTCGCCGATACTCTCCTCTGGTTACTTTCTCCGTCGTCGTTGCCGAAGGAGAGTTTTCGATCACAATCGATTTAATTTTATTCCGCTTTTAAACTGTAATCTTTTTCTCATTTAATATTTGGGCCTGTGGGCTTTAAAAGGCCCATAAATGTAGCACAACTCGCTGTCGCATCTGATCATTGATTAGATATCTGAATTATCCCCAACGGATCAGAAAATATAAAAATCCCAAATTTCGAAAAATGTCACTGACCGCACAATTCTCGCCGCCGGTCACCGGAACAACCAGAAGAACCCGCAAAACTCACTTTCCGTCACCACCTCGTTATACTCGCCGCGTATTTCCGATTTTACCTGAGATTAGAACTCCGGCGACGATTCGTCTGAGGAAATCGCCGTATCAAGTGGCCAAAGCTATCGAACAGAGTCGAGAAACAGCTGGATCTGAATCCGAGTCGGAGGCGACTCCGTCACCGGGAGAGAGCGGCACCGGAGAAAAGGAGGTGGAGATTAGCGCGCTAGGAGAAGAGATAAAAGCGGCGATGGAGCAGAGAAAAGCGGCGGAGGAGGAGAAAGGGAAGAAGAACGAGTTTCTGAGTGGAGTCGCGGAGGAAGTGAAGGAGATTGAGTGGCCGGCGTTTCAGAAAGTTCTCGGAACGACCGGTGTCGTGCTTGGTGTCATCGCCGGTTCTAGCATCGTTTTGCTCACCGTTAATTTCGTTTTGGCTGAACTTTCCGATCGTGTGTTCGTCGGAAAAGGTGTTCAAGATTTTTTCAGCTGATTCCGTTGAATTGAAAATGGTAAAATTTGTGTACAATTTTAGTGATTGCAATGAAGAAATTGATAAAAATCTGACCAGATTTTTGGTTCTCAACTGGATTGATCAGAATCACTCTTCTTCTTCCTTATCCTAATCTTTATACTTAGCCTCAAACATGGAATGATCCTTTTCATTTGAATCTCGACTTTGGTTATGGTGAAGTAGATTGAAATTTAGTTGTGATCATTGTGATATTCCACAAAGAGAGCAAAAAGTCATATAGCAAATTTATTAACAGCAAGTGGGTTCACAAAAAGTTTTGATTTTTATTCTTGCACAAAAGAAGATTACAGAGAGGAAGCAAAGACACATTTGCAACTGAAGATGAAGATTCTCTGTAGGAGAAACTGAACATCTCTTATTATTTGGGCGTCTCTAAAGAAGAAGAAAAGGATGAATTTTTTCAGCCGAGACAAATTCAAGCCTCGAAGGTCATGGATTCTGCTTCTTTCCTTGTCGCGTCGAATAGTACGGTCGATAGATACCTCTCTCCGAAACTCGGGAACACCGCCTGTGAAATAACAATACATACAGTAGAGTTCTTTAACATCAGAATCAGACAACAATCAGAGATGATGACACAACTCAAATAACTTACCACGAAAAGCTTCCCGGCATTTTCTGGCCTCTTTGCAAGTTTGATTGCTGCGGCGGCTGCAGCACCAGATGAAATCCCCACCTACAATTTTTAGATTTTTGTTGTTAGAAGCGTTTATCACTGTGAAATGATATCCTAGTGAGATCCACATTTGTTTTCGAGATCTCTCGTTCGTTGTGAAATGTGAAACACTTACAAGAAGACCTTCTTTAAGAGCAAGAAGCCTTGCCGTGTCGATGGATTCATCACTTGAAACCTGTAGAAAGCGTTACATAAAAGATGGAAGTAAGAATTGTAGCTCACTTACATGCAATACAGTTTCTGGTAAGCAATACAAAACTCTGAGAGGTAGTCTTACTTGAACAACTTCATCGATGAGATCAACATCCAATACACCTGGTATGAAACCAGCACCTATCCCTTGAATCTTGTGAGGGCCTTGGGGCATTTAAAACATCACGTGTTAGGCAACTTCGATAATCAACGATTAATACGTGGGAAGAGGCAAACCAAGAAACAAAGGGAATCAAACTCACCTGGCTTCCCACCGGATAGAATAGCACTTTCAACTGGCTCCACTCCATACAGCTAACAGATGAGAAAACAAAATAAGAAACCTTACACAAAGACGAAACTGCTTAAAAATTTCTGCCTAGGCTCTTGTATGAGAAGATGGAGATCTCACCTTTACGTTCGGGTTTTGTTCCTTAAGATACTTCCCTGCACCTGTTATGGTACCACCAGTACCAATACCAGAGACAAAGCCATCGATTTTCCCATCAGTGCCTTTCCATATCTCAGGTCCAGTAGTCTCATAGTGGATCTACATTAGACAAGTAAAATTCATTGACTTCAAAGTTCAACAACAGACTGAAACAGATTCCACTAAAGCAACAACTAAATAATAAGCATATACCTTTGGATTGGCAGGGTTCTCAAACTGTTGGAGCATGTAACCATTTGGTGTTTTTGCCAAAATCTCTTCCGCCTTTGCGATAGCTCCTTTCATGCCCTTAGCAGGGTCAGTTAAAACCAACTGCACTCCAAAAGCTAAGAGAATGATTCTTCTCTCTACACTCATTGAAGCAGGCATCGTAATAATAAGCTTGTAGCCCTTGGCAGCTGCTGTGAATGCTAAACCAACTCCGGTGTTTCCACTTGTTGGCTCAATCAGCACACTCTAAAGAACAAACTAAAAAGTCAGAAACAACTTGAAAAAAAAAAATCTCTCAAATAAGCAGATATCAAATTTTGACCTCTCCTGGTTTGATAAGACCCTTTTTCTCTGCATCAGAAATCATGCTAAAACCAATCCTGCACAAAGGAACAAAGTACCAAGCTTTTCACAAAACCGAAACTCAGAATAGGTAAAGTAACATCGCAGAGTTATGGGCTAGAGCAAAAACCTGTCTTTGACGCTCGAGCAAGGTTCCATCATCTCGAGCTTAGCAGCAACACGACCAACACATCCTTCAGCCACATTGTTCAGATACACCAATGGAGTGTTCCCAATCAACTGCCGGAAGAAAAAGAATCAATCGATGCATGAACAATGAAACAAAGTCTCACACTTTTTGGACAATGAAAACAGTTAAAAGAAGTGGAGAGCTTACTTCGGTCACGTCTTTAGCAATTCGAGAGGCCATGATTCAAAAAGTTTCACTGCTTAATTCAAAAATTCAGAGTATTAAGACCAAAAGGAATAATATGTCATCCTCAGTGTTTACAATTTCCTAATCTAAGATTTAAACTTTTAAGAATTCAATTATCCAAAAGTAAGCACCAGATCAATCGATTTAACATGGGATCAGCTTAAACCGATTCGATTAGCCGATCCAATCAAATAGAGTCGAAATCTGCAGAGAAAGAGGAAGAAGAAGATACCTAAGTGAGATAAGTCAAAACCTTTACACGAATCGTTTCAGGGAATGAAGAACGTATCGAATAAAATCGGCAAATGATGATTATATGGGACACTTCTTCTTACAGGTAGAAGATCTCACATGCTTTGGATAATATAAAAACGCACGCGGTGGGTGTTAACCAAAATCGATTCCCGGTTTAAGATAATCTAATCCGGTTATTTCGGTTTAATCTTCCCCACCTTATCTCCTTCGTCACCACAAATAGTCATCTCTCCCACTCAAACAAACAAAAGGGAAATCTCTTTTTGTCACTGTCTCTCATGGCGACTCTTCCTCTCCCTCAAACCTCCACAATCTCTCTTCCTAAACCTTACCTCTCCAATTCCTTCTCCTTCCCTCTCCGGAAAACGACACTCTCAACAAATCGCCGGAACTTTCTTCTTCCCGGCCGGATCGTCGTGGCTCAGTCATATAAAGTGGTGGTGGAGCACGACGGAAAGAAGACGGAACTGGAGGTTGAGCCTGACGAGACGATCCTATCTAAGGCTCTTGAATCAGGCCTCGACGTACCGTACGACTGCAACCTCGGCGTTTGTATGACATGTCCGGCGAAACTCGTGGCCGGAACTGTTGATCAGAGCGATGGGATGCTAAGCGACGACGTTGTTGAACGTGGCTACGCGCTTCTGTGCGCTTCGTATCCAACTTCTGATTGTCACATTAAGATGATCCCTGAGGAAGAGCTCTTGTCTCTCCAACTCGCAACAGCCAACGACTGATTTTAGAGAAGAAGAAAGAAAGGTTTCGTTTTTAGTGTAATACGGCGTCGTTTTGTATGGATTCTTTGCTTTTTGAGACTTGAAATGTTACAAATGGAAGTTTAATACACATTCCCAAGTTGATTCAATGAGAGAAAACAGAGTGACGTACAGTATATTTTCAATTCAAATTCGGACGAGACAGGTTACAGAACAATAATCTAAGCACTGAAATAAGTTTTGATTTGTTGAATTACAGAACAATTGCGAAAGGGAAGAGATATGTATAAATTAATAAACACACAGTAGGGCTACTAATTCAGAGGCAGAGAGGTTGAGAATGTTAGATGCAAATTTGGAGAGAGAGAGAGAAAGAGATTACAACAAAACGACGACGTGGAGACAAAACAGAGACACCATAAGATCAGTGGTTTGGTTACTTACCAACTTCATTTTTTGGTCAGTCTCATTGACTAATCAATAGTAAGCATGCTGAATATGGTGGTGGTGGTGGTGGTGTGGGTGAGGATGGTAAACAGGAGGAGCAGGAGCAGCCACCGGACTGCAGTAGCCACCATACGCCGCCGGATAACTAACCGGAGAAGCTTGGTACGACCCGTGAACCGCCTCTGGTGAGTATTGGTAAGGAGGGCTCCTGTTGCTGTAGATGGTAGGCGGGGATGTGGTGTATGCTGGTACACCGTACTGAGGAGAATGGCTTGGTGATCTGATGAATGTTGGTGGTGCCGGAGGGAATGAGGAGACGTATGCGTTTGTGATACGCCCTGCTTTGGCCGGTGGCATTGGACCGTTGTAGCTCGCTCGTGTTCTCTTGTTGGCCGGAATAGTTGCTGGTTTTCTCTTCTCGGTTTTGGTCTTCTCTAGCTGGTCCAGCCGCTTCTTGAGATCCTCAGGCGGGAACTCTTCCTCGAGTTTGTATTCTTCTATGCACTTTATGACCGCTCTTAGTGCTGATTGCTTCTTGCGTGCCACGAGATGCTAGGAAAACAAAAAACAAGGTCTTAGAAGGTTTACATTACGGACTCGAAAACTCCTGCAAAAGGATCAAGAAATGGAGAGAAATTTACCGCAGATCGGCCAGGATTGTTGGGGTCTTCTGTGATTGAAGCTGTTGATTTCTTTGCATCCCTTAGATAAGCTTTGAGCAGAGGAACAGGAGGGAACTTGTGTACAAGACCGACTTCGAAAGTGAAATGAACTGCATCAAGCTGTTGTCCCCTGATGATTAACTCTTCAATCATGTCTGTGTAAAAGCATACAACACAAAAACCATCACTCCCCATTTCCAGATAATACTCACAAGTTCCCATGAAAAGAAAAAGAGAGAGCTAAGATAACAACATTTCAGGAAACAGCATCTAAAGTTGGACATATATTCACATGGATTTGTACTAAACTAATGCATTCTTTACAAGAAGTAGCATACTAGGTTCCAGGCCAAAGCTAGACAGAACTGAGAAATTTAGGGTAAAAGAAGAAGAAGAACTTCATGTTATCACAGGTTACATGATGTTGAACATATATTCACATGAACTCATGCATTCTTTACAAGAAGTAGCACAAGGTTCCAGGCCAAAGTTTGACAGAACTGAGAACTTAAGCGTAAAGAAGAAGAAGTTACCAGGCATTTGGTCACCTAAACCAACAGAAAGAGCGAGCTTTGGCATCTGTTTGCGCCAAGCTGATCCAACAACAAGCTTCCTATACAGAGCAAGATCTTCTTTCTTAACGATTCCAAAAGTCACGAGATGCTGCAGAAACGTGTGAACATCAGGGGTTTTCACGTTCTCTATCCCTCCTCTCTCTTCCAAGCTCGCCTTCCACGTCTCAGCAATCTCTTTAGCCTTCTCCTCGACGCTAGGTGTTACAAGCAACCGAGATTTCCCCATCAATGGATCCACAATTACTGGTATCAAACTCTCCAGAATCACCACACAAGCCCATCCAAAATCGTTGGTCACTTTCTCTCCGGCGCCTTCGACGCCTCTTCTATCAACCGGAAAAACCTCAGACACGGCCTCGAGTACTAACTTCGGCGGATCCACGCAATCCACCAGCGCCACCGGAATCTGTGACCGGAGATTCTCCAATTCCTTCTTCCTCGCGATCACGAATTCCCAGAATCCTCTTGCGTCCATCTTCAGGCAGAGCGATTTCAGTGCGGATAGAAGAAGCCCGTCGCCGTCGTCAACCTCACCGTCGCCGTCGCTTGAACCGCCGTCTCTAGCTTTCTCTAGCGACTCAAGCGCGGCTCTGACTCTCTCCTCGACTTTCCCAGCCGCGATCTCGACGCTTTTGTCTATAGTGACCTCACGATGGTTAAGCAACTCGATCGAGGTCTTCGTCTGATTGTCTAGGGTTTCAATCATCTGCTTCAGAGCTTCCGATTTCTTCAGAAGATTCTGCTCAAGCGAAGTGAAATGCTCGGAGAGCTCTTTCCACAGGAGATTGCAGCTCGTCATCAGAGACGTCTGCCTCTGAAACTCGTCGAAACTCGGCTGAGCCGACTCAATCAACTCGCCCGGATCGTGGGGCGACCCCATCGCCGGTTAATCTGACGGTGAAGAACTCAAACTCGGACAATTTGTTACGGCAAGAAACGAAGCTCAAAGAGTAGAGACGATAATGGTGGACTGATTGGTTGCAGGAAGAAGAAAACCTAAAAAAGGCAAATGTATAAGGAAGGAGAATGGTGACGTGGGTAAGTCAGAAGATTGACACGTGTTTTGGCGTCTGAACAATGACAGCCATCTAGTGTGTGCGCACTTTAATGACGGCAGCAGTGGCACCACAGTCCTGATTGGTTGTTGCTAACGTGAGCGGAGAGAGCGTAGGATAAGAGGCTTGTGTGTGATTCACGTCAGGAAAAATTGGTGTTTGGTATGATGGTAAACCAAAATTATATCGGTTTAACGTATCGGTTAATGCTGGGAGAAAGAAGTGGGCCAGGCCCACTGACCACCACATGCGTTGAGTCAGAAGACAGTGAAGCATTGCCGGCTAAAATATATGCAAATAGTAACTTTACGAAATTCTAATTTCGAAAAACGTATATTTGATTTCTCATTTTTTTTTAACAATATAAAACATAGAATACTGTCGGCAACGTAAAACAGAGATTTTAAAAGATATAAAAGCGAATGTTGACAGTATTAAGAAGAAAAAAAATCGAAAGAACGTACATGGAGAAGAAGTTGTAAATATGGTGTAATGATATAGGCACGCGTTGGAACGAATATTTGTGTTTCTAGACGTGATGCTTAAGTAAGCACAAATCGTCTTTACACTAATCATTAGTGTTTTTACGTAGTACATATTATATAATCTAATTACTTTCCTGTTGTCGCGATCAGGACTTTTTTTATGAATAATGTGGCTCATACAAAAATTTACACTAATCCTCAGAACGATATCTAGAAGACCTATATATTTTTGCCATTTAATCTACAGTAATAATGCTTTTTCTGAATCTTCTAGAAAGGAAATTTTAATCACTAATTAAACCACAATAAGTTGATTATAGCATAACATATTTAATTTTGACCCAAAAAAAAAGCATAACATATTTAATTTTCCTCGTTATAACTTCTTTTTGGTCAAGACCTATATATAACTTATGATCGCATTATCTTTAAAAGAAAATTTTACGTTCAAACAACTTTAAAGAGGCTGAGGCATAATAATAAGGTCACTGGACCACAGCATTGAATAAAACCTATTTGGGAAAATTTTATGTTCTTTTTTTTAACAGATGAGGATATTGAATTATCACTTTACTTACAAAGATTGCAGAGAAAGAAAGAAAAAAGCGAATGAAACGAAAATTTTCACTTTTTGGATAATAATTGATTGTTTGGAGATATGCATTATGCAATGGATTGATATAAATAAACTTGATTAGGTTTTTGTCACGCATGTTGAAACAAGAATGAGAGAACATGAAACTTAAAAGGGGTAAGGGAAAATTGGAGAAATGAGAAATCAAATGAAGTGAATGATTTTAAGTCATGCAGAGTATGCAGTGATTTGACATGAATCTTGGCCTAACCCTATATAGAAACATGATTAAGACACTGCATAATCTGAAGCTTTTAAAGTTTTAATCATTATATGTGAATTGATATATACATGTCCTAATCGACAATGATAGCGGTATCCCTTGTTTTCTATTTCTTATATTTTCAAAAGACAATTAACTGGAATTGAACAATTAATTAAGAGATTAGTGTCACAAACACGAATCCATGACCTTTGATTGGAAAAAAAAAGAACAAACAAACAAATAATTAACACCTATATCATATGAGCAACTTAGCCACCAATATAGCCAAATCTTAAAGCAAACCATTTCCACGAAATGTTCTTCCCTACCACTTTCGTTACCACTTTCTTTACTCTAAAAGCCCATAAGACTGTGAATGGCATGTGACCAAACGGGGATATCATTGGCTGGCTAAAGAACAATCACCACTTTGCGAGTAAGATTAAAGAAAAAGAAGCACAAGAACCTAAAACTATATATCACTAATCCTATCAAAATTCAGAAAGCATCAAGCATTATTATCATAAATATCCCAAAAATATTTTTCAATGATAATGTAGCATACTTCAAATCAGATGTTTAAGGTCTAACACATAAACATAGAATTTATGTTTAAGTATAAACTATATCAGCTTCTTGTGGAGTGTTGTTTTACTTTGTGTCTAAAGGTTCTCCAAAGGTTCTGACTTCATGTGATCCCCAAAAGGGTGATATAAGGGCCTTATATAACCCTTATATAACCCTTACATCCTTATATCCTTATATCCTTATATGATAACTCTTATATCCTTATGTGATATAAGGGTCTCCAAAGGTTCTGACTTCATGAATCCTTAAAAGAGTGAGCAGAACTCTAAACACTACAAATGATAACTCGGCTCTAAGAGGACCTCCTAACTTTTCTTTGTTTCCTTTGATGTCATTATAATCACTCAAAAACACCCTTGGTTTTCCACTGTACAAACCAGCTTCTGCCATGTGAATCATACGCCTCCAAAGACCACTGCGTTTACTAGTGTTTGGACACCCGTAAATATAAGTGAGACAATACGTGATAGCTTCTTCCGATATATACATAGTTGTATAATAAAGAAAAGGGTGATCAACGAGCTTAGCTTAACATCAGAATCCAAAAAAATGTAACGCCTCCACTTATTAGCCCAATCCAAATATATCAGAAAACAGTGTGCATACTCCAACTCCTCCACAATCCTATGCGCATATATATAGTAGTTGTGATACTTAGTTCTACGAAAAACATGATATTAGGAGTATAACATGAAAGCGTTTTGTAAATGAGTCTTTTCACGTTGGAAGTACTTTTTGAAAGAATTGATTTGTTTATTTTTATAGTATTGAATCATCTGACTTGTCTTTGTTCTCTAATTGGTATAAACATTTTTGCAGGTTTGGTGATCTGAGGATCATTTAGGAATTTGTCCTATTGTGGAGTTGGAAAGTTATAACATAGCAGCCGGAGAAAACGGCGGAGCACTGCGACAAAGCAGACGGCAGAGCAGACGGCAGAGCAGACAGTAGAGCAGACGACAGACCAGACGACAGAGCAGACGATAGATTAGATGACAACTCATACAAAGCTGACATGATATAGCTCAGACGATATCCCCAGCAACGGCGCCAATTGATAACTTAGAGTTTTCAAGGCTCTAAATGAGGGTTTATCAATCCCTTTTGTCACTTTGCAGTACAAAGGGTATCAATCCATAATGTGTAGACACTAAGATGCAGGATCAGTTCTTAATTCAAGCCAAATGAGTGAGGTTTTGATGATTAATGACAACTAAGAACTTAAAACAAGAATTAGAGCTAATGATCAACTTAAACAAGTAAGCAAGTAAGCTAAATGAGATGAGAATGTATATATGATGATGAGAAAGGTCTTAGACATGATAATGGATTAGGGTGTCTTTAGTGTTAAACTAGTGAGCTAATGAATCATGTGATCAAGCAAACCATTCAACTTAAACATCATTAATTAAGCTAATCCTCTCATAAAGGTATTAACTTCTATGCTAAAACAGTTTCTAACCTAATCATCATTAGTGAAACATGAATCAGCAAGCATTAAGAACCAGTTTAATCTGTCATTTAAGCATATAAACAATCATTCCCATGATGAATAATACTTAAACCTCTAACAACCTTGGTTCAGGCATTTCATCAAACACTTTTGGTGCATGAAATGCCCAGAATCTAGACCACATATGATGTGTATGGATCTAGCATTAAGAACAGGTTGTAGAGAATGGAATATGAATGATCTAACCCCTAAACTCACTAATCTACCACCTAAGCACCCTAATCTACATATCTAAGACCTTAATATGGGGATTACTCACTAATCATGCTAATCTCTCTTAAACATTTGCAAGTTGAGAAGATTGGCATGATTAATGATGAGAAATGTAGATGGAGAAGATAGATAATGATGGATTTGCAGCTTTAAACACAAGATCTCTCAAACTCTCTTGATTAAAACGCCCAAAATCAGATATTTCTTTTCAAAAGGAGTTTTCTTACACAAAAGAGGCAAAGAGAATATGGAATAAAGCTTAAGTCTTTGGGGTAAAACCCTAAAAACTATATATATAGGTCTTTAAAACGGACCGGGTCAGCCCGGAACAAACCGGGTCTTGACCCGGCTTTAATGGATAAAATGACGAGTGTGCGAGTTGGTCAAGAGCCTCTCAAGTTGCATGTCCAAGTCGCATGCCCAAGTCGCACAGGCAAAGAAGCAGTCTTGTGAGCCTTAAGTCCTTTAGTCTCAGCCGCATGCCCATCTAGGTGTGTTCTGCGAGTCTTTGTGCGTTTCAGCCTTCTTCCTCTTCAACTCGCATGACCAAGACAAAATCTGGGGAGAATATGTGTGCGACTTGGTCCTCCTTTAGTCCCAAGTCGCATGCCTAACTCGCACAGCCAAAGAAAGAAGCTTTAACGAGATAGAACCCATGTAAGCTCAGCCGCATTACTCTCTCGTGTGATCTGCGAACCTTCATGGCGGCTCAGTTCTTCTTTGCTCCTTAACTCGCACGATCATGTAGCAGGGGCCTTCAGAGATATGTGGCGGGATGGTCTCCATCACTCCAAGTCGCATGCTCAAGTCGATGTAAATTGCGAGTTTTCATGCGGCTCAGTTCCAAGCTTGGCCAACTCGCATGCTCAAGTCGAACGGTTGTGGACTTAGTATTTTTCTCCCTCGGGAACCTTAGACCTTACCTAGTGATACCTTAATCGCACATCTCAACACGCAGATCAACCCCCAAGCATTAATCTCCAGGTATTGTGAGTTAACCAAGTCGCAAGACCATCTCGCAAGCTTCAGGTCTCCTTGGACCACTTCACATTCGTGGGAGAGTAACTCCCAAGATACTGGTTCAAATGGTGCGATTCCAACTTCAGTGGACAGAACACTCAGACATCTTCAACTTTGGTGAAGGAACCTTCGGCGCTTGGGAAGTGAAAGGATCCCTGGAGGGCTGATCTTCGCAGTGCATTGACACGGTCAGAAAGAGGTTTCTAGACATGCGTCCATTCCAGAAACGTTATCTTCTTGCTCAAAGCTCCAAATTGAATGATCTCAACCGTTCTAGAAAGAGGA